ATCAAGAATATAACAATAGATCAACCTATCTCATACTACAAGTACCCGGGAAGAACTCTCGAAGTTTTGACAATGGCGGCGGGCTCTGTAGAAAGGGACAAGTTTGTCATATGGGTAAAAGAGTTTTGGGGCATTTTTGTCATTATACCCATTTTCGGGACTTTATTTTAATTAGTTTTAATTGTATTTAGGCTTAGTTTTCGAGTATCCACCCCTGTTTGTGAAAAACTCTATATAAACAGGCTTAAGTCAAATGTAAAATGGGGATTACAATTTAATAAAGAAGAGGCATTACGCTTGATTCTGCTTGTCTTTTCTCTTAGCCCTAGCGTCCCAAGGAGAGGAGAGAGAAAACTTCGTAAGAGAGGGAAATACTCCCAACCGCTTGAGTACACACTTTCCCCTTCTTGAAGAGGTCTCTTGCTTCGGTAACTTTCTCTCTTCTTCTCCCACACAAGTAATCCCACTCATGTGCAAGACTGCGAGGACCCAAGCAAACCAAAGGGTTCGAACCAACGTGCGTCCGTGTCTAATTCCTCTTCCTCGCTTTGACAGCCCAATAAGAACGACAAAGTTCCCCACTTGCTTGTTCGATCAGCAGAAAGGAAGCCAACCCCGAAACGAAGAATCATGACATCCATCAGAACCTAGACTTGAGATGAGAGAAGAGGGTCATAGCGTCAGAAGAGAGTCCCTGATCAAACCGCGCATCTGAACAGCCAGAGGGCTTTCGTAACTGATTTAAGAGGGCCAACCGCCCGGCCGTGTCCCACAAACACGCAACGATGAGGTAAGTGAATCAACCCTTCTTCGTCGTAAAGTCTCTCTCTTTATTGTTAGCCTATTCACACTCTAAAAAGCTAGCACACCCTCGTCACCCGACGTGCCACGCCCGTGAGCCTTCAGCGGTTGTTTGAGAGAGGATCTTCTCCTCGAGCCCTCGCGCGAGGGAACCAGAGAAAATCAGGCCCCAACCAACTGGCGATTCCACTGGGGATACACTACCCTATTGTTGCCTCGGACTATTTTCGGACGAAAATCCTCTTCTCCTCTCTTTCTAAACATTTCGATGGATTCTCGCTCTTCTTGTCTCCTTCAAATCCGGGACTTTCTCATCCCCATATCAGTGACTCATTCATCCACGAGTGGGTTGACTGACCCTGCTACCCTAATCCAATCTATGGTAACACGAAGTAAAGGCATCCACGCCATTACTCCTTCCTCCACCCTTGATCGAAGGGAACTCACTAGGGTTACCTCTAAGGACTGCACCACGGTTGCTCTTCCACACCTTCATGACTGGCACTTAGTCAGTCATAGGCCTAATCGTGGACTTCCTCACCACTCGGTGAACCCTAACAGGGTCGCCACCTCTTGCGGCATCCGTAAAGTAGGATGGTATGTCCCATGCACCACTCGTGCAGGACTGCCCTCCTTCACATGCACTCTCCTCACAGTCGATGGTCTAACCATTGCTATGACAAGTCAGGGTAGGTGGCAACCCTTCGCGATCCCTTCACCCACCTTAGGTCTCTTCACACCCAAGTTCACCACACGCGGTCCGCTGACCGCCTCTATGCTGCATGACAAACTCGTCGCTTGGGGCAATCCACATGGTAGGCCCATGAAGGAACATGGCCTTCAGATCAATCGAAGGTCACAAAAACCCTTGCACATATATGTCGAAAGCCATAAGGCCCACCAAACCAAACAGATAGGCATCCCAAGTGTCAAGCCCTGTGCAACACGAAGGGATGGACTTAGGCCCATCCCAAACACTTCGATAGTTTGCACACACCCGTGCAGGGGCGAACATCCCGCTAGCATAAAGAGGAGGATACTGGAAACCCAAGATGACGATCAATTTCTGACCACCTCCTGGCTTTCGAAGAAGTTCCCCGCAAGCACTGTCCTTTCGACCCCGCTTGCACTATGCTTGCAGGACCTCCCACTGCCTCCCTCCCCCCCTCACCAAAACAGATCACAAGGAAAGCTACGTCCAAAAGCAACCTGCCGGCTCGTCCCTTACTTAAAAACAAAGGCGTCACGAAAGGGGAGTACAAGACCATCCATTGAGGAGACCAACTAGCCCCTCGACACGAACAAGCAAGGCAAACCCAGGCAGCCTCTTAAAAACATTCAACCACGGGGGGTCCACTGAAGAGCAACCAATTCTACCTACTACAAGACACAAATCCTCTCACGAGGGACAACATCCTTGAATGTCATGTCGTCGAGATATGTGAAGATGAGTCCAACCCGTCCGACTCACAAAGCTTAGCAGAACCCCATCAAGTTAAAGAGATATGCCCTCAGGATTGTCACACGCCCATCAAGGACAGGCAATGGCCCCAAAGCCTTAAAGCACCACGCTCGACAAACCTCGTCCTCCAGGCCGCCCGGAACCCGTGCTCATTCAGGCTGTGAGGCAATTGCAGGCTCAGGGAGGATAGGCTCAGCCACTTCTAACCGGTGTCCCAGATCGAGGCACTAAGAGGCCCAGGATCGCCCCACCAGCTGAATCGTCGAGCCCCGGTGAACGAGATGAAATAATGGTGGTGAACCACGAGGAAGGAGAAAAGGAAGATCCACCTCCAGGCATCAAAAGCATCCTAAGAGATAACCTTGACAGGATCAAAATACTGGAGGACATTCACATCGCGGTGTCTCTTCACCAGGGGGTGAGTTCTCCCCGTAGATCCCAAAATGACGAGAGGAGCCGAACACAGCCACCTCCCATGGGCCAGGCATCAGTACACGGTGAACCACCCGCCTCCTTTCAAGACCAACATAAAGAAATCTCGTAGGCCGCCTCAATAACCTTCACCCAAGAAGACATCCAAGTGATTATTAACAAGAGCATCCAAGGCCTCCAGGTGTCGAAAACGCTCGAGAATCGCCAATACAAAAAGCCTTACTTGCCTTCAATTGATCAAGTCCCCTTCCCCACTGGATACCAAAAAGGAAAACTGCCGGCCTTCGACGGCATAGGGTCACCACATCAACACATAGCCCATTTCACATCCACTTATCAGGAATCAGCCGCAGACACCAAACTACTGTTGCGACAAATCGTCAAAACACTCAAGGGACTCGCATTCATATGGTATGCACGTCTGCCACCAAACTCAATCCACTCGTGGGAAGAAATGGAATAACTCTTCTACAAACGCTTCTTTGAAGCCGAATTGGAAGTCCAAACCATGGAGCTCCTCACCATGATGCAGGAACCAGACGAGTCAGTAGGAAAATATATCTAGAGATGGCGTGACCTCGCCATGTGTCTGAGCAGCCCTATGACTAAGATAGAATCCGTGCAAACATCCGTAAGAAATATGAAACAAGAGATTGCCTTACACGTTGAGGTGTCCAACCCTACCACCTTCTTCTTCATGATCGCGAAGGCTGCCAATCAAAAGCCTATTAACACCATGGAGGAGACCGAGCCCAAAGTTCAGGCACCAGTCAGGCTTGTAACGCTAGGGGCAACAGGCCCCGCACCAATCAACCCAAGAACGTAATCAGTGTAGCCGTCACACTGCACCCCTCGGCGCTAAACCTGCGGCCAATACAGCTTCTTTGCCGACCCTAGACATGTCACGAGGGATACCGACTAAAGCCAAGTGAGACGTGCAGCCGCAAGCCCCTCAAAAGCAGAATTACAATAACGTGCCGCCACCGCAAAAATACCATCCAACTGAGGAATTCTTGTGCAGACTAAATCAGAAATATAGCATCAATAAGGAGTGGGTCCCTACCCTCCTGGAAATGCTCCTTGACCAAGAGATGTTGGTACTCCCTGACGCCAAGAAGCCGGAGCAAGCATAGTTCGTTGACCACCCCAAATATTGTGCCTATCATTGGAGCGTGCGGCACCAAGTCCAGGATTGCATTCAGTTAAAAGAACACATCAAAGCCCTGATCCAAAACGGACAGATCGACTTAGAGGGCCTAATAAAAGCTTTCGAGACCCCAGAAACTTCTCACATAGTCACTGTCCACGAGGGATCCATCAACGACTCCTCTCCAGCCAAGCTACCTCCCGAGAGAATTTCTGTCCTATTTGACATGATGTCCCAGCATGAGATGATAGCGCCCTGCGTTCCCAAAAAAGCATGCAAAAAGGCCAAAACCCTTAGTGTAAATATCATCAACAAATGGGCCATAACTTGGCCAACTGCAGGACATTCCGCTCTTTCTTGAAGAACTACATCCAAATCAGTCAGATAGTCTTAACGGATGGACGACCTTCATCACCACAAGGAAACTAGGAGGAACAGGCTTCCTTGCAGTAGGGATCCCAATCAACTCAGTCCCTCGCTATCTATGAGTGAGGAGAATCTGAAGACCTGAGAAGAACCGAATCAGTCCCAAAGGTTTCCTTCAAAAAAAAAAAAAAAATCATCACCATCAGATAGAAGAAAATAGCTCCTTCAATTACATACTGGAAAGATTACAAAAGGAGGGCTCGAGCGAAAAAGCTCAAAGAAAAGTACACAAAAAAAGAGAGAAGAAAGCTCTAACTCGCGCGACCGCTGATGCAACGCTTCCCAGCTAGAGTCTCAGCCTACACAACCTCAAGCTCCCCAGAAAGGCTCACAACCTCTATCGACAGGGAGTCACGCTCTGAAACGAGTCGTACCTGTTCTTTTGCTCAATGCTGCACGAGGCCTTGCCGGTCGGCCCAGTCCTTCTCCAAGAAGTCCTAACATCTCCAGAAAGATGTTTGCGCTGCATCCTCGCATGAAAGAGCTTTGGTGCCCCAGTCTGCAGACCTTATAGTTGCCCATCAAGACGAGCGAAGATTTCGCCATCAGGCGACGCACACCTCAGACTGGCCACACAAGCCCTAAAAACCTCCATCCGTTCCCTGAGCTCCGATAAGGGACATCCCGTCAATCCCTGAACAGAGCATCCCCCTCACCATCGACGCCTTGAAGTTCGAAGGCAACCGTGGAACAATAGGGAAGCCAACCACATCTAGTGGAGGCACATCAGTCATGGGGCTCCCAAAGCCAGGAGGTGTCATAGCCCTTGCAGCAGCGCGAGGCCCAAGAGGAGAGCTTGCCACAGGCCCTCCTGAGGCATGCAAACCCGAGGACTGCGCTGTTGACGAGTCGGGAGGATGAATTCTCGAAGTGCTCATCTCCTTCTGTGCAGATTTTGGAGCAGACGGAACAGACGTCGTAGGGTGTGCAGGAGATGCCACGTGAAAGAAATCCCAAAAAAATCTTTCAGTTTCTCGAGAACTCTCGAATTTATAGTCAATGACTTTTGTTATCAAAAGAAATAGCGTAGAAATCATCAGAGCACAAAAAGACCTCTTCAAAGAGAGAAGAAAAGAAGGGGTATGAAGAGGAGAGAAACCTTAAATATATGAACCTTTATGAAGAGTACAACAAAAAGTCTCATCTTGACGTTCACATTATGTGGAGTCTTAGAAAGAGACGGGTAGAATGATCTATTTTTGTATATTTTCTCTCTCTAGACTCGGTTTTTTTTTTTTAACCTTCTTATATATGGGTAATGATAGGAGGAAGAGGGATTGCTAATGAGGAGATAGGCGGTTGAGCGACAAGGATAAATCTTCATCTCTTTAGTCCAATAGTCCAATAATGGTGTAGAGGGAGAGATGGAAGTTATGGCTTTGAATCATCCCTGTCCTCATTATCTTCGGGCCGCGTTCGAAATCCCCGTGTAATGTAAAGAGAGAGAGGTTGACAGATAATACTAAGAGGATTCACAAGAGAGAGAAATAAACTTTCAGTTATTGAAGAACCGAAAATTAAATTCTAAATTTTCGGTTTTTACAAATCAAAATTGTCTTGATTTTGACTTTTAAAAAACCAAAAATTGGTAGTTCTGTCTTTTTTTAAAACAATTGTTATGAAGTCCAAAAAACAGACATATCAGTAATAACGAAAAGTATTCGGTATATTGGTAATAACAGAAACCAAATCGGATATTACATAATTTTCTCTAAAACATATGCTAAATAATATATAAAATATTTTTTTAAAATTTTCTAGACTTTCCTCAGGTCGGATACACAATGACGTGGACCCGACTTGTATGGGGAAGAATGGACATTTTCAGAAAGTTGAGAAAATCCTACCACATTCCCATGATTGTTTTCTAGAAAAATAGATTACTGTAGCAAATGAAATCAATTTTTTATTTTTTTGGTGGAAAGCACTTTTCTAGGTTGATGGCAAAGTATTTTCAATCAACGCACATTAAAATGAAGCACTTTATTTTAAAACAAACATGCTCTAATAGAAAACAAATGCAGGGCACTTGATGCTAACAAATCTTTTGCTGCTCAAGCTAAAAGCCACAGCCAAAGAGAGTGGGATGGAGGGAAGAATCGTCAATGTATCCTCATCTGCACATCGAAAGACTTACTCTTCAGGAATCCGCTTTGACAATATCAACTATCCATCCAGGTCTCTTCTTACACTTCTTAACAGAAAACACAATTGTTTTAAAGTAAGGATGGTAGGGATGTTTAATATTTGTTTCATACGGATGTGGTGGTCAGGTATGCACCCTATGGTGCCTACGGCCAAACCAAGCTTGCAAACATACCCCATGCAAATGAACTCGCTAGGCGCTTACAGGTGTGGCATTTGTTCTCAAACTGCTCTGCTTTTTCCAAGAATGCATTTTGTTATTTGTCTTTTCCACATATCCTTGCTATACTGCCTCACAGATATACGAAATGAATTATTGTCCTATGGCATTCTCAAAGGACCACTACATCCTTCTAAATTACCTGTTTTTTGTTGTTGTTGGGGAGAGGTGGTTCCGGGGGACACAGAGAGGATTTTCCCTTGTACATATCTATCTAAACATGGTTTTAATTGAAAATAAGCTTGCCTTTCTTATATTCACAATAACAAATAATAGGGAATGTTGATCGTATTTGAAAAGTGAACTAGTTATCCCATAGACATCATCATCATCATCTGAATCTTATCTTAATTATTTGGCATCAACTAATTTTCCAATCCAAATGCTTGTTTAAAATAATGGCCTTTTTGGTTATACATTTGAAATTTCTTTCCTTAGAGTGAAATTCAAGGCGAGTTATCCCATGGACTGCATGCAACATCTATCATAGTTTGCACATATAGCACAACCTTAATGCATCATTCCTTATAAAAAAGTCAAATTCTATCCATATTGAATTTCAAAATTTCTTGGATAAGAAGATGTCCAACAAATGTTTGGGCCTTGTTTGAGCCCCCCTCGCCCCCCCTCCCCCCCTCCCCCCCCCCCCCAACAATATTAACCACTTTTGGCAAAGACTAAAATAGCTAATGGCTAAAGTTATATGAATCAGGAAGAAGATTTCAATGTAACAGCCAACTCTGTGCATCCTGGAGTTATACCAACTAACGTTATTCGTTGTATGAAATTCTTAGGTAATTAAATATACTCCAATACTTTTTTCCTTGAAATCCTTCTCTTATCTATTGATGTATTGGAAAAATATGCGATTCATAACAACAACAATGACAATATGATTTATCACCATCAATCAATGAATTGGATGGTTATAGTTTTGACATGTTATTCGGCATCCATACGCCTCCATCACCGCCCAAATCATTAAAAGGACAGTGATAAACCATATTTCCAGTGTTATTCTTATGACAATAACAATGATGATATATAGAACCCTAATCTAATTCCATTTATTTTTAATGTTGCAGCTATTCCAGTGGCATTTGCAATGGTCTTCTGGAAAACTATACCCCAGGCAAGTCAATATATCTTTTTACCTTTCTTCTTTATAATGATTGGTGAACAACCCATGTTCAATTAAGCAACCTTTAAGGTGTCAGGGTGCAGTAACAACTTGTTAGGTTGCAGTCCATCCAAACATGAAAGGAGTGACAGGAAAATATTTCTCGGATTGCAATGAGAATCAACCATCAGTTTATGCAAGGGACATTGAACTAGGAAAAAATCTATTGGATTTTTGTCAAAACCTTCTCGATTCTATATCGAATAACAAATAAGTCAATCTGAGTCCTCTCACCAACTCGACATTAGAGTGTGCATCACCAGCTTGACTTCAGAGTGTGGGATGATGGTTTTTGTATAGTGTGGTTGTATGCCATATCAATCCATGTCTGAAGTAAACGTTTCTACCATTATGACAATAAAATTAGTTAATGTAACTGGTTTTAGCATTTGAACTCATTACTTTGGGAACAATCTATTGGAGTATGGTATCGAACCTGGATGCCTTCGATGTTTAAGAACCAGGAATACAATAGCTATGCTCTTCGAAGATCAGATGAGCCATTAACATTGCACCTTATTTCTGTTAAATGAATGATTTGGAATATTACATGTGGAGGGCCTAAACATTTTTGGCGCACATATTCTTTTGTGTGCTTAGCAATTCAACATGTATTAAGAAACAATTAAGGCTAGATCATGTTACATATAACAGGCAAATGATCCATTATACGAAAGTTAGGATAGGTGCCTAAAAAAGAAAACCTGGAGTTAATTACTTACCCCAAATATACAAAGTTAGGGTCCATTATTTGGACTACGATACCTGTGGATATAACTAAAAGAAACAATTGGATTAATAAATTTTGAGAGAGCGGGAGAGAGACGAGTGAGAGATTTTCGAAGGGGGAGGCCTATGAGAGATCTTATGGGACAGAGATAGTGAAGAAAGAGATTATAAAAGGACATAAAATAATGTTATTTAAAAATTGCTTTGGAATGATATGTTTTAAGAGAGGGAGAAACAAGTGAAATATTTTGTTATATGAAATAAAATTCCAAAGGAACAATCAAGTATAAAAATAAAGTTAAAATATACCATCTAGAAACAATATGAATGACAATAATGGCTCAAAGTCATTATCCCAATGATTGCCATTTTGCCTTTGAATGATTTAGTTGAAGAATGAGTCTAGGGGTTCCAAGCCATGGAAATCAAGCATACTATATCAGTCAGTTAAGGTATGAATTGGCCATGATATATGATGTTCATAACCCAAAGTAGCCAAGGCTAGTTCCCAACCTTGTTGCAAGGGCTCAACATTATCCCCCCCTATGTATCCACCTCCATTTGTCCATTGGCCTGAGAAGAATCATCATCACCATCTCCCATACTGACTCGTTCATCTCCTCCTATTGCTCCCCCTACATCTCTTAATTCATCTCCCACCAACTCTTCAAGATGTGGTCTACCCTCTGCTTGTTCACCTCCTGCTTCCACATGTTGGTTCAAACCTTCTGCCTCTTAATCATCAGTCAAGGGCACCAATTACTTCTTGCAATGTCCTCTTATTGCATACTAACTCCACGTCCATCAACCACTCAACAATTAGATCCTTCAAAAATATGCAATCTAGGTTGATTGGTTCATAGTCTTCATTGCTACCTTTCGAGAGTCAAATTGTAATGGAATTGGACCACATTCTGAACAATGGTAGAAGTCAACTTGCTTCTCTTCATAAGTCATTCAATTGGAATAATTTCCATTCCACTCAGACACCATAGCAAAACAAGTTTGAGTAGGCATCTTATTCGGTTTCTTGTAGGTGTGTTTCCTCAATTCTATGTAACTCCCGCAATTCAACTAAATGAATTGACAAATCACTTATAGAATGTTCCTAACTGGTATTAAAACTACAAAAAAGAGAAATGATGTATAAAAAAGGACTTTAAGAGTTAATCTGGATCCATCTGACTATGAGTAACCTAGCAAGGTTCATTGCAAACGTCCCTTATGCAACCCTCAATGAAGAAATCTAAGAAAAAGACATGGTTTCACTAAATGAAAGAAAATTCTTCACAGACAATTGATAGTTGCTTCCTTTATGCTCTGATGTGTTTCTTTCTACATCTCTCATATCTTTCTATGAAGTAGTTGACCTCTTCCATGGGCTTCAGGGCCAATTGATGGTTTCGACTAGTAATGTATAGATTAAAGTAAAAGCCTAGACAACACAAACATCAATAGAATATACAAGGCTAATCATATGCACCATCATTAGCAAAGCATAATTGCGTTTTTTAATGTTCAAACCTCTAGATGTCTTGAACTCAGCTTCTTGCATAGTAAATCAAAGGCCCAATTGGTTCTTCCATCTATACTCAATGATTGTCATCACCAATTATGCGGATGAGCAAGCATCTTGCCTAGTGGCCTTTACTCTCAAAATTGCTTTGTTGAAAAACCCCATGCCAGACTTCTTATTTGCATCTACCATCTTATGAATTCAATTGCATGTGCAACCTATGTCCTTAAGATAGAGGCACGTACCTAGTCATCAGAGGAACCAATCCTATTGAACCTTGACCTCAAAATCGAATCCATGTCCAAATAGTTGCAAAGCATGTAATGCCAGCCTCCGATCGGTGTACTACCTGATCCATTGAAAGATATTAGAGTAGTTATGTATGAACTTCATGGCTATATTCTTTCCATCCACAGTATCCTTTATGTCCCTGATCTTGCCCATGCTCTTTATGATCATGTCATTGCAATGGAAAACACGAGAAGTATATTGCAAATGCTTCCTCTTAATCATTAACTTCCTCACAATTTTTTGTATTATCAGTGATAATTAGACCTACAATATCCTCTGCTACTTCCTCTGCACTCCATCAAACAAAGTTGATAATAGATTGGCATTCTTAATTGTTCCTAAGACAGGCCTTCACACTTCTATGTAAACTAAACCATTGGTTTGCCCAAAAGTGTGCTTTAAGGAGAATTTAAAAGGAAAAGACTCCAAATAAACCAACGAGAATACACACAAATGAGGAAACTCTTGATCATATAGGATCACAAGCTTTTTAATTAAATTGAGGTTTGGAGAAGAGTTTGAAGTGTTGAAAATTTGTGCGTTTCATTTACATCCATGTCAGGTTAAGCAAGCACGGAATACCATTGCAAGTAGACTCTACAAGAAAGCTGCTATTAGATGAACCTCACCTAGGAAATATATGTGCTGATTAAGTTTGCACCATAACTCTCATCACATATGTTTAGGTGTGGGTTATGTACAAAGTGAATTCGTAAGCAAACCGGACCAGCTTTGGGTTGGTGTGTCCCTAGTGGAGTCACCAACTAGTCGGTCCTAGTCTTACGTTGTTAGGACGGGAAAACCCTTTCTTTAAAATCGCGGTGCTTTTTCTTGCGATAGACATAGAGAAGAAGAAAAAGGCATGTGTAGTGCCCACCCTTTTGGTTGCACGCGTGTGTATGTTTGAAGGTGAACAAAGTGCCCGCTAGGATAAGGGTCGGGCGGTGTGGTTTTTGCGATTCGAACCAACAAAAGAAATATGCGTTAGGTAAGGCTTGATGGAGTCGGGGCAAACCCAAGAGTTGAGCCCTCTTAGATCACTTTCGGAAAGCCCTTGGCCTTTCGGCTTGGTTCGGGGCAAAGTTTTGTCATAGAAATGTAGATCGCCGTGAGGAAATCATTTTAATATAAGACTTGTGGCTTGGGGGCAAAGTTTTGTATATGGTTCCAAAATTCTAGTCAAACCCACAACTTGATATTTTGGATCTTCTATTTGGCTTTGTTATCTCATATTTTTCCTTCATTTCCATCACAAATCTAAGGGGGAGTCATTGTGATCATTTTTCAACAAAAACACCTCGATTTGGAGCTCGTTTGGTCAATTTTCCCTTTATGGGGGTCATCAAATACTGGGTTTTATCTCTATGCCGTCTTGATCGCATTGGGACATTGTCTTCTCAGCTTTCATCTCAAGCAAATAATATTTCAAAATGAAGCCCTCCAAGTCACGGTCGGAACGAGTTTGTCCTTGGGCTTATCGGAGCTTGGGATCTCAAGATATGGTCGTTGGAGTGGAGAGATACCACACATAAAAATCTGCCATTTCATGTTTCTGAACAACCTTCTCTCTAAGATTTCTTTTGCCCCACGGATCCCCCTCATCTGTTCCACCTGCCAAAACGTGTGTCTCAATGAGAGGAACAAGATACCAAAACTTGGGCTCGATTTGATTTGAGATGCAAAATATACAAGCTTCACAATAATCTATGTTTTTGAGAAAACACTGTTTGAATATATTTTTCAGCACCTAGGTCCCTGATGCAGAATAAAGAGGAAGCAGGTCAATAAAGCCTTAACATACAATGAAATTCTCGACTGTCTCAAAATACCCAATAATGGGTCAGAATCTTTTTAAGCACTTCAAAAGGCTACCTGTCAGGTTTCATCGTAATATGACATATCTAAGGCAGTGCAGACAAAGAAATAATTTTAGAAAATCGGCCTCTAGTACCCAAAAAAGGATCCCGTAACTTGAACTATATTCTCGGTATGTCAAACAACTATGGGACCACTGCCATTGAATCCGGCATGGTCGAAAACCCATATAGGTCAAGTTTCGGCTTAATCGGGCATCCATGACAAAGCTATGAGTGAAAGACCAAATAGGGATAGGCCACACGCTATTCCCGTGCGGCCTCCCAACACCAATCTCCATTAAAGGAGGCTGATATGTACAATCTCGAGCAACAACTTCAAAAGCCCGTATCTCACTCGTCTTGAGTCGGATCGCTCTCAAATTTGGTGAGCGTGTTTGTCTCATCAAGACAAGCGTTTTGATGCGGTACGCCTTGTGATGATACCTGAGCAGGGAGAAAAACTAGAGAGAAGTTGATGATATGTGAAGATAGTTGTAAAAAATTCAGTAGCATCATGCCTCGCTCGAGCGGCCAAATCACGACGATCGCATATCCGATCGACGTGAAACCAATTGCATTATGTGCGTAAGGTTCGAGGCTATCTTTGGTTTGATTCCCGTGTGTGATGAACTACTGGGTAAATTTCGGTCGTCGGATTTTAGATTCCGGTCAAAATCCAAAAGCTGTGAAATCTTCGTTCGGGCTCCAAATCGCATCCCGTTTGTCGCCACGTGATCATGACGGCATGCTCTATACACTACGATGAATAAATCAAGAAAAAACATCAAGGAAGGAATGCACTATCGATCTGAAGTTTTCAAGATTCATCCAAATTTCAAGTCTCATGAACGTAGCTTAAAAACACGATTCATGGCTTGAAATTGGTATCAAATCGATCGTCATGTCGGGCCCCACAAGAAAATGATCATATTTCGATCAAACGGGCATCAGAGCAACCTCAGATCTGTCATGGAAGATCATGCAAGTTCTAGGCCAGCAGCAGGGACTGTTTTGAAATTCTATGAATTGTTAGAAAGGGGCAAAACAGTCGTTTTGCACCCTATTTTGTTAATTTAATTTAATTCAAAATAATTGTAATTATCATCAATTTATGTAGTTTTTGGGCATCCACCCATGTTTG